GATCAACCCATGTTCAATTTGCATTTTGTCAAAAGTGGAGCCGAACAGTATGTTCACGGAACTGCCATTGTCAACGAGCATGCATTTTAATCCGTTTCTAGACACTACGGCTCTTACAACCAAAGCATCGCACTGAGGGTGGTGAACTCCCTCTGAATTTTCCTGGGAGAAGGTGATCGGGGCCATCTTGTTTGCTGATTTCGATTCTTTAACAATGTAAGTGATCATCGGGGGATCCTTTGCTTCCCTTGTGTAATTTCTCTAGGCATTCCTGGTGTTGCCGCCGCGTGGGGTTCCCCAATGATAGTATCGATTTCCCTGATGAGCTGGCCCCTCGAAAATTGGGCTTGGTTTCCCTGTCTGGATTGGCCTCGATTCCTCGATTCTCTTCTCCGAGGAGATTGTTCCTGGTGACCTCTTCCTCCCCTCCTCGGGGAGGTGGATCTACGAGGGTGTTCGTTTTTGCTGGAAGTGTAAGGGTTGCTTCGATCAGGGCGCCAATTGGCATCACGACACTCTCTAGTATCATGTCCATACAGTTGATGGAATGTACAAAACCTTGCTCCTGCCAAGGGTCTGTTTGACCTCTTTTGCTTCTTCTTATTGTTATCAATTCTCCCAGATGGTCCCGCTTCAGCAGGGGCATTATCATATGCCAGCACCGACACTGCATTTAATGTGGTGGAGGCTAGGGCCTGTCCGGATGTGGGAGCTATGGTATGTCCTGCTTGGGTCCATTGGTGAGTAACAAGGTGTGCTGCGAGGCCTCGACCTACGTGCCTATAAGGAGGAGGGAGTTCCTGCGCGGCACGGTTACGATGATCAATCATTTCTTCACTAACAATTTCCACTCTCATCATTTCTACCAGCTCGTTATATGTGGAGGGATTCTTGCTGCGCACGTCCCTCCAGAACAAAGTGTTCATGTTGAGCCCACCTTTCAGGGCTGAAAGGGCTTCTCTGTCGGTGGCCTGTTCGCAGTAAGTAATTTCGTCTGTAAACCTGGTGGGATAGCTTTTCAGCGTCTCCCCAGGGGCCTGCCTCATGTCTTGCAGGCGTTGAATTGGTGCCTCTCCTTCCCTGCGTGAGAGGTACTAGTTCAAAAATACTTTCTTCAAGTCTGGCCAACTTCTGATGCTTAGGGGAGGAAGCCTGCTGTACCATACCTCGGCGGCTCTGCCTAGTGTTAAATGGAAGGCTCTGCATTTTAAAGCAAGCGAGGCTCCCCTAAAGCTCATTTGTGTCATATACTTTGTGAGGTGCTTCTCCGGATCCCCCTTTCCCTCATACTTGGGGATCTTAGGGGGCATGAAATTAGCTGGCATTGGTAAGCTTCGAATCTCCCTTGAGAAAGGGAGGTTATCATCATCATCGTCAATCTCATAAGATCGACAGGGCCCATCTGACCTTTCATCATCCTGGATGTCCTGGGGAGGTGGAGGTGCTTCTCCTCGACTCCCCCAATCAACTGGGTTCCTCCTCTCTCTCCTATTTCTAGGAGGAGGATGGGGGACATGTTCTTGTTCGTGATCCGGACGAACTGATCCTCTTGTTGAGCGGACCCTATTGCTAGGATCCTCCCCTATCCAGTCGAAGACGCTTAACGACCTTTGGTCGTCGTGCTCTTGAGGGAAATTGTCCCACAAGCATGGTTCTGATGGCTGATTCCCTTGCACATAAGATGTTGCTTCGGCGTTCATCTCCCTTTCAAGGGGGCATTCTGTGTGCCGGCTCATGTGGCCTCGAGAGCGAGATAAAGGGATTTCCTGCACCGAATAAGATCCTTGGAGCCTTTGATAGCTCTGGTGACCCTGGGCTTGCATGAGGAGTTCCTGCATCGCCATATTCTGAGCTGCTTTGTCTCTCATACCCGCAGCTATCCGAGCCATTCCTTTAGTGAGTATGGCTGTTCTTCCGCCTCGGCGACGCCGGTGATGCGGTCTCTGATGAGTAACATTGTTATGGAGTACCTCTTCTTCAGAGGCCTCTTTCATGGGGTTGTCGTCTTCATGGCTGTAGCTCATCCTACCTCTTTTTTTTTAAGGGTAGTGAGAACTTGGATTGTAACTCGACTTTGTTCTTTTTCAAGAATGCCCCCTTTTCAGGGTTAGTCGCTGGTTTTCTGGTACCTTCTCTGATGGAGAACGCAAAACTTCGAATGGGGAGCGTTTTCCACAGACGGCGCCAATCTGTTGACCCCGAAAATTGGTCTTTCCACGTGGCCAACTGAAAAGCTACTCCATGTATTCCTCCCTGCACACAATCAACGAATAGTCAGGCGCACACGGCCGGAACCAGCGGGGGTGGCGGAGGCCGTATACACTCCGACGGTCAAGTGAAGTTTGAGTGATCGGAACAGTACCCAGGGGCTATGCAAATCAACAATAAAGGGGGAGAAGAAAATATATAAACTTGCTATGGAGTGCTATGTAGTAAGTGTTTCATTACCTTTGCCTCTTGCCAAACCTTAGGTACTTATAGGTGGTATGAACCGTTGGATGTGGAATGCGTGTATACATCCAACGGTATGAAGCGTCTGCTCATAGGCGTCAATCAAGCGCGTTTGTAGAGCGGGAGACAGTTTGTTTCTTCTGAGTTGAATTGACATAAAATTGATAAGTCACATCAACTAGTCTCATGGAGACGTCAAATCAATTTAAGCCTTAGGTGCAGGACAAATCTCAAATTGGCGGCGGGTCTTCTAATCGGGGTCCACTTGATCTCGACCTCGGAGGTGAGATGCTTCAGCATATCAGTAGTAGGAATCTCTATATCACTTCGGAGACACTTCGGAAGGGTCATTTCCAGGTCGGAATATGTGGTGCTGCGCGGGGTCCATTTGACCTCGACCTCGAAGGCGAGATGACACTTCGATATTCGAGGCGTGTGAAATCGGAGCGTAACAATTAACATTAATCTATATTCAATGAATTTTCTTTCGATGAAACTTGAATTACATGAATCTAGAGTTATTGTAGATGAATTTATTTATATTCAATAGATTTAGAAATTTTAATGTGTTTAAATTTATGCATCAAGAATTAATTTTTATGTATTAAATGTAATGTAAAAAAATTGCTCATTTATAGCCTAATTTGGTTCCTATTAAATTAAATTAAATTAAATTACATTTCATTTTTCTTTATCTTATTTTTCAATCACACAATCTTTCATAAAATAATATTACACTTAGGCTATGTTTGAGCCACATTTTTAAAAAAAATATATATATTTTTAAATAGTAATTTGACATCATTTCAACTACACATTTTTCAATAAAATAATATTACACGCAAATTCAAAACTTTTCTTTATTTTTTAACAATACATTTTCCATCATTACACTATTCATAAATGCATTATTAGGAATGTAATGTGACTCAAACAAGGGCTTAAACTAAAAAAATTTCCTTATTTTTCAACCACTCATTTTTAAAAAAAATACTATATCACCAATTTTCATTTCAAAAAAGGGGGCCAAACGGGGATGTAGTATTTTATCATTACAAAAAAATTGAATCATAGAAATTGAATTTTGAAAGCATAATTTTCTTTTTTTAAATTTCTATACTAAATTTTATTTTTTTAATTCGTTCCAAACTAATCAAATTCTCCAATAAATTGGTACTGAATGTTACTTTTACATCATTTATAAAGTATTTTAAAATAACGTTAAATCCTCGTTCAACTTTTATGACTACTTAAGAAAAAAAAAAATTTTTTTTTTGCAATACCCTGCTCTTTCTTCTTCGTTTCTTCCTTTGTAATCTGAACCTCTGCCTGTCGTCAGGAGCTCTAAGATGCCATTGATATCCATTCTTTCCAAGTCCAGAAGCCCTCTTCTTGCTTGCGTATTTATCCTTAACAAACGCCACCTTTCCTCTACGGAAAACCTCATTTTCCCGAAATCATTTCTAGCCTTTCCTTCACCACCAGCGAGTACTAATCCACAACAATTCGGTCGGGAATGGATCCGACCCTACCACGACGGGAGGCCCAGAGGGCCTCTGTGGAGGGGCAAGAAACTTATTGGAAAAGAGGCCATTTTTGTTATATTGGGTTTGAAGAGATTCAAAGACGATAGGGAAAAGCTCGAGAAATTCATTAAAACCCATGTGCGCAGGCTTCTTAAATTGGATATGATAGCTGTTCTCAATGAACTCGAACGCCAACAGGAAGTTTCTCTTGCTATCGAGGTAATTGATTAGTGATTAAAACGGTAGAAATAGGTTGCTGGTTCTTGTTGTACTTTGTGCTCATATGTTTGTAATTTGCTTGTTTGATGCCAGTGACAACATGGTCTTGATGTTAAAACAAGTGGAGCATTGAATTTTGTGCCTTGTGCTTTAGCATCAATCCTTCTGTGGTGTTCTTAGCTTAATTGATACGATTTTTAGTGTAGTCACTGTTTGAACATCACCGTGTTCTTTCCCTATCGAATTATGTGTATTTGTGTTAATGTACTACTGAATCATTCCATGCTTCAGCAGTCGCAGTGTCGTACTCTTTTATTGGCAAGTAGAGATTTTACTAACTCAAATTCTGGGAAATGAGTGTTTTAAATGTTAGCATTTTGTGCAAGTAGTCATTAATTGGATTCGTGGAACTTGAAAGCAGACTAAAAAGGGAAAGGAAGCTGTTCAATTCAAAATGAGAAAGAGCACAATGGGGTTTTTAAGTCAATGACAAATAACAATTAATAAAATTTTGGAATTGGTGATTAATATAAAAGTACCCCGAAAAAAAAAAGTTTTCAAATGATTTTTTTGCAGTGTGGTAGATAAACTCTCATTAGCATTTGCACCAAGGGGGTGTAGTTGTGCTTTGCTACTGTGGAGCCTTGCTTCAGTAACGAGCAATGTAAAGATTCTTAAGCAACTCAACTTTGACTCTGGTGGAATTTGAGGCTAGGTTTTGAAGCTTGTTATACTAACAGTGACGTGATTTTAGAAAGTCTTCTGGATGATATCTAACAGCAATTAGCCTTTCATAAATATGAAAGAGCTCAAACTGAACTATTGAAGAATGTGTAGAGTATAAAACATCCATTGTAAAATTGTTGAGTAATTGGAAGACCTTGAAACCTCTGAATATCCTATTAGGAAATTTAAAGCTCCTCATATACTGCATGGAAGTGTTTCTATTTTGGATCGACACACATAAAAATACTTTCAAAAACTTATGTCCCTCAAATAAGAGAACTATGTAAGTGGATAGCTGAATAATTTTTCAGGTTTAGGAAGAGTGGAGGATTCTAACTTTAAACTGAAAGGGATATAGATAAGCTTCTTTCCGTTGTTTTTCCATCGTCAAAGCACCAATAGTGGTTGCACAATCTTGTATGTCTGTATTCTTACACTCTTTTCCTTTCATAGGAAAATGGGGGGAAATAGAAAAGGACTAAGGGAAATAAAAATTAGTGGTTTGGTTGAACAGAAACTTTGTGAAAAATGGGAAACATAAATAAAATCCTAAAAACTCTTGGAATAACTGCACCACAGTTTAAAGACTGAAAGCATGCTTTGGAGTTGTTTATTATTAATTTTAAATTATAAATAGATAGAAATGGGTGGCTGGTAATTAGGTGGTACTTGTAGTTCCGACGTCGATAAAAAGTAGTTTGTCCGATTATAACCTTTTCTCCTGGTCTTCGATAATTTTCACCACACGAAGACTTTATTTGGGAAGACGAAAATCATAATTAGAAGTGGGAGAAATGGATTCTTATAAGAGAGTGAATGTGGGTGTTATTAATTGGTTTTGGGCTAGAGTGTGGAGGAAAAGCCTTTGCATCTTAAATGGGGGAGACAATGAGATTCTGTTTTCAGTTTGTGAATGAGGGTTATGATTCAGTGTATGGATTTCTTTTTTATTCTTTCGCAACTTATGACGGGACAAATCCTTCCAAGTTCTCTCATGTAATGCTCCTCAAATTCAATGAGAAAAAGCCTTTGCATCTTAAACAGGGGAGACAACGAGACTCTGTTTTCAGATTGTGTGCGCGAATCATGATTCATTGTTAGGATTTTTTTCTCGTTCTTTCGCAACTTCTCTCATGTAATGCTCCTCAAATTCAACCACCAACAGATATGTAAAACTATCTATTTATATTACTAAATATATGCATCTGAAACATCCATTCTAATTATTAATACGAAAGGAATTTTGTTCAAAGTGCTGCTGATTATTGAATATTAGAAATATTAATTTTGAGGTTCCCTGAGAATTTTATTAATTATCAATGCCCCATTCGATTCCCATTTTTCTCAAAATGCATCTTTCTTCCTCTTCTTTTAAACCACATATTATTCATTAAAATAATATTACGAGTAAATCAAATACTTTTCATCTACACATTCTCCATCAATCTACTATTATAAAATTCATTTTTCCTTAAAAAAGGGTGTCAAACACCCTCTAAGAATGTATTAATTATTAGATTGTCTACTGTATATGTTGGCCATTAGCAAAATGGACAAACAGGAGTTTACTGTTTTAAAAGTAAACAGTTGAGATGAGTTAAGTGCTTGTTTTTGCCCCATTATTTGTGTGTAATGTATTATGGAATAGTGATTGATGTTGAAATGTGTGATTAAAAAAGAAAGAGAAGTTTTTGATTTATGTGTAATATTATTTTAATGAAGAATGTGTGGTTGAAAATGAGTACTATAGAAAAATAATGTGGTAAAATGTGGAAAAAAGGAAGACAAACAAAGCCTAAATAAATTAATTTATTGATTTAGTTTTGCAATATTATAAACAGTTAACTGATTGATGCCATATGAATGGTCATAGTTTAACAGTAACTTTGTTACATGCAAATAGAATCATCAATGGTGACTTTTGGTAACTTTCAAAAAGAGAACCTGATTTCCAGATTCTATACTTCTTCCAATATTAGAATGCATAATTAGTGTGACGCTTTGTCCCTTGATAATAGCCTGTTGTCATTGCTACTTTGATGATAGATCTTATGCGTTGCTAGTCTTCATTGTTAAACTATGGGCATGGGATGTGCATCTCATATCACCTCATGGTTGAAAGGCTTAAGTAGATATTACATAATCGCCCCAAACAAACTGCAAAGGAACATTTACTATATTAATAGCGCGGGCTTTTATGAAAAATTTGCACAATGTATTTCTGTTCTGAATTTCTCTCTTTGTGAAAAGGAAGTCAAATTCTTATAATCCCCTCCGCACCCCAAAAAAAAGACCCTTTTCATTTTATTGACTATGTTTTTAGTCCGGATGAGCAGGAAATCAAACCATTACATCACACAACTCATATTTTGATCTTTGTATTAGAAAGGAAGTGAACCTTTCATATTTGTTGCTTTCTTGAAATTTTCTTTGCCACCTATAATTTCAATTTCTTGAGTTTGTTAACAGTGTGTAGTTTCAATTAATTTTTCAAAATAGAGGGTTATCATCAGGTTTATACTCGTTCCTTTGTTTTTCTTTTTGGTACATCTTTTGGGCCTAAGATCTTGTAATAATGGTGACACTGGTCCACATTTCCAAATTTCAGATTTTTAGGGTGATTCAGAAACAAGACTGGTATACACCCGATGTTTATGTATACAAAGACTTAATTATTTCATTAGCTAGATGTAAAAAGATGGACGTGGCAATGGAGTTATGGGAAAATATGAGAAAGGAAGGTTTGTTCCCTGATTCTCAGACGTATGCTGAAGTTATTCGTGGTTTCTTGGCGTATGGGTCTCCAGCCGATGCCATGAACATTTTCGAGGACATGAAGAAGTCTCCAGATCCACCTGAGGAATTGCCATTCAGGATATTATTGAAGGGGCTTCTTCCACATCCCTTGTTGAGGAACAGGGTTAAGCAGGATTTCGAGGAAATATTTCCAGATCAGCGTGTTTATGATCCTCCAGAAGAGATATTTGGATTGCGATGAGGTATGTATTCTAATGATAGTCGGATTTTTGCCGCTTATTAGTAAACCTGATCGCTGGAAAATAGTCTTTATAAGTAGATAGTCAACTTGAACAAGTAAAACTTAACCGATTTTGAGTATGGTGCATGTTTTGTTACTGCCTGGTCGGGCAGCATTGCAATGGTGAGATCTATCGACTATCGTGCTATCTACATGTGTTTGAATTACATAAATCCCGTGGTTCGGCGTATAAATAAATTGTAATAAAAAGGTTGAAAATATGTAGAAGAATTTTTGCCATATAAATGAGCCAGTTATCCCAATGTCTTGAAAACTTGTTTATAAACTCAAATATTAAGAAATCGAAGGGGTTTCAGTGGGAATCAGAAAATATGTTTCTCTCAGTAAGTACGAAACTATGATGTACAACAATGTTTGACTTCTCGAACAGCAAACTCTTTTAAGTATTTTGTTTTCATTTTCAAAAATAACAAGAGACTAGAAACTTGTAAAATTGTAAGACTTGAGTCATCAATAGAGATAACAAAATGTCTCAACATTGTCCCACCTTGTGTGGTCTCACCCGTTCGGAGTGGGGGTTCCTTGCTCGGAATGAGTGGGGCATGTGTCACATGTTTTTTGGAAAAAAAAAAAAAAAAAAGTAAGTAAAGGGAAGTTATGACAAATCAGTCGACGGCTCATCGGCTCAGTTCGATCAGTCGGTAATTTGAACTCGTTTTGAGATGACTCATGGATTGAGTCAAATTCACATTTTTTTAATGAATCGGCTTGTGGTTAGCTTGTTTTTTCATTTGGACTTGTTCTATTAATTTTTTTAAAAGTACTGTTTGTTTTGAACTTTCTTTGCCCCTATTTGGTTTTCATTCTTTTCTCATTAAAATGAAAAATATAACCGTTATTCATAACATTAAACCACAAAATTTGAATTTCCATTTCTTGTGTGGGGTCCGTAACGATTATATTTTTCGTTCTCTCATTCTTTCAAAAATGAGAAACAAACGGGGGTTTTGTTAACATATTTTTTTTTCTAAAAAAAGAGTTGGCTTTTGAGGTCCACGAGTCCAAGGGTTGAGTCAAACATAAGACTTGGACACAAGTCAAGCTTCTCCATAGGACCAAGCCAAGGTTGGGTGCTTACGAGTCTAGTAGGTGTGAAAAACAGGACTATAATTCATCCTGTCCTAGACCTGCCCCTAATTCGAAAAAATTTATGTGCCTGACCATGCACCCGTTGCCATTTCAGTTAGGATTGAACACACTTTGATTTAAACGGTTTGCGACAAATTTTCAAATTAGATCACTCAAAGTGATTTGAAATTTTTCCAAACCACTTCAGTTTCCAAACCAAACCGATTTAAACTATTTTTTTGAGTTTGGTTCGGTTCAAAATCAAGATTCAACAAAGAAAAAAAATAAAATATATCGAATAAGGTAAATCATCAATATTAGTCTAAAATTTCATGTTAAAATATAAATAGTATCATTAAAAATATTATAAACCAAAAATTTACAATTCTAATCATTATAATGCAACAAGAAGATAAAATCATTTTAACCTCTTGGTCAATATTAATTGTTACAACATGTGCAGTTATGCATGATTCATTCACTCCATTAAGATAAAAATATAGTATATGAATCACTAATTTAAATTATATAAGACAACTAATAAAAGAAAATGAATAGAAATGTCAAATATAATAATACTTTTTATAAATTTTTGTTGAATCGGCCAATATTTTGACCACATTCAAATATTGACAAATCACTGTAGGTTCCTTATTATTATACGATCAAATTTAGAAAAAATCACCGCCTCAACCATAATTGCATTCAGTAAACTTTTAAAAGGAATGAAAATTCAATCACGGGCAGAAAATGCAGACTCAATAACAATTGTGGATATTTGAATAGTCAACACATTTTTAACTGTTTGGGGGAGCAATCTTGTACTTAATTTGCATTCAATTACCACCAACAATAATATACCAAAAGGGTCATTGATTAAATTTCAAAATGACCATTTAAATAATCCACCAATACATTCTAACAATTAACAGTAAAATAAAAAATCTAAGTAAAAATGTTAATAATTAATTAAGTGACCTGACCAGAAAATTGGAACATAAATAAACAAAAAATATTGTCCACTAAAAATTTAAGGGAATCTGGCACAAATTAGAACAAAACAATTCAACTACCAACAAAATATAGCAAACAATTATCAAAAGATAAACAAATTTGGATAAACTGACATGAAAATTTACCCGAAATTTGGGAATATTATTAGATGAATAAAATAAATGTTTGAGTTTGAATTAAAATCTAGATTTAATTGTATACTCAATTGTAATGCGTGATCGATAGATATGATTCAACGGTAATTGTCCAATACTTCACCCAATTTAATAGTTTTGCATTCACAGTTGTGAAAGATATTGTGTATATGATTTAATTAATTAATTGGGATGGATAATTATCTCTTTAGGTATTGAGTTTAATTAGGTTAGATAAATTTTAAATTAATTTATTTTCAGAATTTTTTGTAAATGGTTTGACGGTTTAAAAACGTAGAATGGTTTGAAAAGATTGAAACATAAATCAAACCACTTCGTAGCGATTTGGTTCGGTTCAAAATTCAAAAATTGACGGATCCGCGTGAACCTAAATCAACAATTTCAAAAATGCGATTTTGCTTTTACGGTTTAAAGTTTAGCCATATCAGAGGTTTTCTGGACGAACCGGACCTGGTCTGGCCCGCCAGCCGTTCAAGGCCGGTCCAGCTTTTACCACCTGAGTACTGACTAGATTGGCACGCCTACACACCCACCTTCAATTCTCTGGCCTCAGCCAATACCTAATAAATTATACTTCATCGGCAACAGGAAATTGGAGAGAGAAAGGGAAAATGGCATCGACGCTGAAATATGTTCGCGTTCCACCAAACTCGGCGAACTTGGAGGAGGCGCGAAAGCGGGTTTTCGAGTTCTTCAAGACGGCGTGCAGATCCATCCCTACCATCATGGACATCTACATCCTCGACGAAGTCGTCAAACCCTCCGAGCTTCGCTCCACCGTCGCCTCTGAGATCCGCAAGAACGCCCATGTTACTGAC